TTCTCTCTGCTAATTCACATGCTAATATTTTCCAAAGATTCAGGAGAGTTGGCACTCTTATGTGGTTGGAGTGTAAGTTATTCTGTATTAACCTTGGGACTCAAAGTGACAGAAACAGAATTAAAACTCAAACCCACTTAAGAAAAAAAAAAAGCAGGTGGGGAAGATTTGGGAATCACGTAATTGGGCAGGAAAGGCACGACACTGGACTGGACCAAGAGTTCAAGTGAGGTTGTCATGATGTCCTTATAGTTCCTATAAAAATGGAACTTAGCTGGGGAGCCTGGGTGGCTCAGTCTGTTAAGCATTCAACTTCAGCTCAGGTCATGATCTCACAGTTCATGGGTTCAAGCCCCATGTCAGGCTCTGTGCTGACAGCTCGGAGCCTGAAGCCTGGTTTGGATTCTGTGTCTCTCTCTCCGCCCCTCCCTCACATGCACTCTCTCTCTCAAAAATAAATAAACCTAAATTTAAAAAAAATTTTAATAAAAAAATAGAATTTAGCTCTACTGTTCTCTCTTTGTTCTTCCCTAAAACACTCAGTCATCATCTAAGCTCAGGGATCCTGGTTCTTTCTTTAAACAATGCAAGAGTTCCCTGCTACACGCTGCAGAAAAATCCCAGAGAAGGATCCTGACCCACGCAGCCGGGGTCCGTTCCTGAATCAATGATAGTGGCCAGGGAACCCAAGGTGAGCAGTACTGCCCAGCAATTAAGGGCACATAGTCTGGTAGGATTTTGTAGATTTCTGTAATCTACTTCCATTGTACTCTCAGACACTTGCCAGGCTCATAATCCTGTTCTCCTGAGAGCTACCACTGCTAATCTCCACTACAGGGTAGGGCCCTGGAGCCTAAGCATTGACCAGAGAGAGGCAGTTTAGGTTGTATTCCTTTCATCCATCTCTCTCTAGCATCTGTTTCTACTTCTCTAGGCAGAAGGAGGAGGGGGGGTGGTGGTAAAAATAAGGATACACTTAGTCCCCTTTTTCTAAATTTGAGATTATGTGTGAGAGTTCTCATTTCAAGGACTGCTTCTCGGAGAACCATGCTAACCATCAGCAGAAACTTTGACTTGTGCAGTTGGCCATCACTTTTTCTAGTTTATCTGGTGAGGTTGTTTTGCTTTCCTAATGTAGTTGTTACTGACAAAATTGTGCTGTTTTTAATAATACTTTTTTTGGGGGGGGGGCAGGTGTTTGGGTGGCTCAGATGGTTGAGCATCCGACTCTCATTTCAGCTCAGGTCATGACCTCATGGTTTGCACGTTTGAGCCCAGAGTTGGGCTTTGTGCTGATAGTGCAGAGCCTGCTTGGGATTTCCTCTCCCTCTCTTTCTGCTCCTCCCTCACTCGTGCTCATGTGTGCAAGCGTGCACACTTTCTCTCTCTCAAGATAAATAAATCAATTACCAAAAAAATATGCATATATTATTTAGTTAGATATTGGTGGATCATGTGTGACTCAGCTACACTTACCTTTACGTAGAAATAGCCTCACTTATATGGCATAATTAAACGGGCCACTTAAGTGGTTCTTACCTAGACACAGATTGCTTCAAGGGCACTTTGCTATGTTGTCTGAGGCAGAAAAGAGGCTGGTAGTTTCTTTTGTTGGAAAATTTCATGTTCTACCTCATCAGTTATTCCATAACACATACATGATTGAGTGCAAGCATAGTTCCTGATAAGTTTGTTTATACTCTAACCGCAGGGGAAAAAAGATTTTCACCTCTTCACGCAACTTCAGTTTTCTTTGCTCTCAGAATATTTCAGTATTTTGTAATTATTCCTTGCCACGCTTGAGAAACATTCCCAACATTTTTGTTCATTAGTTTACCTCCCTTACCTCTTCTCACCTTTCTAGCTAGGGGGAAGTGGTATGCTCTGAAGACTTCTAAACCTTACTCCCCATTCTTTCTTTTTTTTTTTAAGGCCATTTGTTTCTAAGTTTATTTATTTTGAGAGAGAGAGTGAGTGTGTGCAGGGAGAGGGAGGGGCAGAGAGAGTTTTGTTGTTTTTTTTTTAAGGCTATTTTTTAGAGAAGTTTTAGTTTCACAGCAAAATTAAGAGGAAGGAACAGAGGTGTTCCAAATAACCCTGCTGTCACATGCATAGCTTCTCCATTATAAACATCCTCCACCAGAGTGATACATGTTTTTTAATGTCTGTTTAATTTTGAAACAGATAGAGCAAGAAGGGGAGGGGCAGAGAGAGAGGGAGAGAGAGAGACAGAGGGTCTGAAGCAGGTTCTGTGATGACAGCAGGGATGTGGGGCTTGAACTCATGAATTGTGCGATCATAACTGGAGCCACAGTTGAATGATTAACCGACTGAGCCACCCAGGTGCCCCCAGAGTGATAAATTTTTTATAGTTGATGAACCTACACTGACACATAATAATCATCCAAAGTTCATAGCTTACCTTAGGTAAGCTTCACATTTTTTTTTTTTTTGGTATATTTGTAAATTAATTTATTATTTATTTACATCCAAGCTGGCATATAGTGCAACAATGATTTCAGGAGTAGATTCCTTAGTGCCCCTTACCCATTTAGCCCATACCCCCCTCCCATAACCTGTCCAGTAACCCTCTGTTTGTTCTCCATATTTAAGAGTCTCTTCTGTTTTGTTCCCCTCCCTGTTTTTATATTATTTTTGCTTCCTTTCCCTTATGTTCATCTATCTGTTTTGTACCTTAAAGTCTTAGAGTTCATTCTTGATGGTGTACATTCTGTAGGTTTGGACATGTGTCCATTTCGTAGTATCATCCAGAGTATTTTCTTTTTTTTTTTTTTAATTTTTTTTTTCAACGTTTATTTATTTTGGGGACAGAGAGAGACAGAGCATGAACGGGGGAGGGGCAGAGAGAGAGGGAGACACAGAATCGTAAACAGGCTCCAGGCTCTGAGCCATCAGCCCAGAGCCTGACGCGGGGCTCGAACTCACGGGGCTCGAACTCACGGGCCGCGAGATCGTGACCTGGCTGAAGTCGGACGCTTAACCGACTGCGCCACCCAGGCACCCCTCATCCAGAGTATTTTCAACGCCCTTTGGAAAAGCCTCTGTGCTCCACCAATTCATCCCCACCCTCGATCCCAGGCAATCACTGATCTTTTCGTTGTCTTCATAGTTCTGTTCTTTTCAGAATGTCATTTGGCTGGAATGATACAATGTGTAGCCTTTCAGACTGGCTTCTCTCACTTAGTAATATGCATTTAAGATGCCTCCATGACTTCTTATGGCTTAATAACTCATTTCTTTTTAGCACTGGCTAATGTTCCATTGTCTGGGTGTGCCACAATTTATTTATTTACCTGTTTATCTCCTGAAGCACATCTTGGTTGCTTCCACGTTGGGCAATTATAAATAAGGTTATTATAAACATCTGTGTGCAGGATTTTGTGTGGACATGCATGTTCAACTCCTCTGGGTAAATACCAAGGAGCCCGACTGCTGGATCAAATGGTAAGAGTTTATTTAGTTTGTAAGAAAGCACCAAACTATTTTCCAATGTGGGACCAATTTGCAGTCCCACTAGCAATGAATGAGAGTTCCTGTTGCTCCATATCCCCACCAGCATTTGCTGTTGTCAGCGTTGGAGATTTTAGCCATTCTAATAGATGTGTAATAATATCTCAAGTTGTTTGTTTTCTTACTGTTGAGTTTTAATAGTTCTTTGTGTATTTTGGATAACAGTCTTTTATCAGATATGGTTTTTGCATATATTTTCCCCCAGTCTATGGTTCGTTTTCTCATTCTTTTGACATGTTTTTCACAGAGCAAAAGTTTTTATTTTAATGAAGTCCACCTTATCCATTGTCTCTTTCAGGGATCGTCCCCTTGGTGTTACATTTAAGAAATCAACATCAAACCCAAGGGCATCTAGGTTTCTCCAATGTTATCTAGGACTTTTATAGTTTTGCATTTCACACTTAGGTCTGTGATCCATTTTTTTCAATGTTTGTTTGTTTGTTTGTTTGTTTATTGAGAGAAACAGACACAGCATGAGCAGGGGATGGGCAAAGAGAGAGGGAGACACAGAATCCGAAGCAGGTTCCAGGCTCTGAGCTGTCAGCACAGAGTCCAATGCGGGGCTCAGACCCACAAACCATGGTAATGACCAGAGCTGAAGTCAGAGGCTTAACCCAATGAGTCACCCAGGCGCCACGGTCTGTGATCCATTTTCGAGTTAGTATTTGTGAAGGGTTTAAGGTGTGTCTAGATTAATTTTTTGCACACCGTTGTCGATTTTTTTTGCATTTGTTGCAAACACTATCTTTGCCCCATTGTATTGCCTTTACTCCTTTGTCAAAGAGCAGTTGACTATATTTATGTGGGTCTATTTCTGGGCTCTTTATTCTGTCTCTGATTTGTTTGTCTATTCTTTTGCCAATACCACATTGTCTTGATTGCTGTATCTTTATAGTAAGCCTTAAAACTGGTTAATGTCAGTCCTCCAACTTTGTTCTTCTCCTTCAATATTGTGTTCACTGGTTGTGGGTCTTTTTCCTCCCTATAAAACTTTAGAGTCAATTTGTCAGTATCCACAAAATAACTTGCTGGGATTTTCATCGGGACAGTCCCTTTTCTTCATTACTTTTCCAGACTCCATAGCCCTCAAGTTGCTCCTGGTTAAACAAAACCCCCTGCTGCTGTCTCCCATATGGCCTCTCCTTTCTGTATGTTCCCCTTTTTTTCCAAACAAAAGCTCACACATATTTTTTACGAAACCAACCTGTTAGTGCAGAAGTATAAAAAAATAAAGAAGCATTCCCCTAATAAAACATGTCTAGCTGTAAAGATGGTAGTGATTTTTTCAGTGATAGTAAGATGTTAAGTGATCTTGAAACAGCATAAATGAGCGTCATCTCATGTGACTCCTTAGAGACCCAAATTACTCTTTTCCAATGTTTCCTCTTTGAGTTATACCTGACTCTACTACCAGTTTTCATCCAAATCCACTGGGAAATGGGAAAATTCCACTTTTGTTTCTTGGCCAGGAATTGTTTGATCTTCAAAGTCTTGTGAGAAGACACAGCAAAGAACAGCCAAGGGCACACACCACAATGGAAGAGAAAGGGAGAGAGAGCAAAATCCCGTCTCTCAACTTCTCCTTCCCACTGAAGAAAAGTCCCAATAGGCGTGAGGACAGTCAGTCTGATTAAAGCTGCAACTGATGTGTGTGACTTATTGGTAATTCCAAGACTTTCCTAGAAATATTTGCCTTTAACCAAGTGAGTATCTACCTAATTGGCTAAGTATCAGGAGTATTTTTGGTTGGAAATGTTGATTTTAACTTTCAACAAAGCATGGTCTTTATAGTTTGGGAGTGGGTCAAGGTAAGGAGATCAGCTTTCCTTCCATCATTAGGAAGGGGAAGAGAAAAGTGTTTGGGGAAGATGGTTCTTCCTACTAGAAAAATCACTGAAGTGACTTACTTAAAGAAGTCATCTCACCTTGTTAGCAAGGAGGGAAGTGATAGACTCTGACTGTATTCACTTTGGGATTCAGGGGTCTTTGGAAAACACTTAGAGGGTCTTTGCAGCCCAAGAAATCTGAGTTCAAATCTTTGGGTGGTGATATGATCCAAATCTAATATGATCTTGGTCAATATGTAGTCTTTTTAAGTTTAGGTTTCTTTATTTATAATACAGAGATATTACCTTTATAGATTTGTTGAGATTTTTAAATTTTTATCTTTAAAGTAGGCTTTCACACCCAGCATGGAGCCCAATGTAGAGCTTGAACTCATGACCCTGAGATTAAGACCTGAGCTGAGATCAAGAGTCAGATGCTTAACTAATTGAGCCATCCAGGTGCCTCAAGAGTTTGTTGAGATTTAAATGAAATAAATAAAACATGTATGACAGTGTAGAGTGGGTGTTTAATAAAATAGTAGCTTTTTATAAATAACTGCCCTTTAAATGCTTATGGGTGGAAAATTCCTCAACTGAGCAAGTGAGTATGAGCCAAGAGTATTTAATGACAATCTCCAAATTTTAAGAGGTATCAGAATTAATTTTTCTATGGTAACAATATTATAAATGATGATTAGGGTCCTATTTCATTGCTCAAATATCTATGTAACCTGTAATATCCCTGATAGATTTTGCGATAGCAAGCTTGTTGTTAAAAGTTCAGGCGGGTTCCTGGGGCAGTCAGTGTCTTAGATGCACCAGAAACCCTCATATTATTTTGATGAAATAGTAAGTTCATAATGCTTGTGTGAAATGCCAGCAACACAGTCCCCCTAATTCAGCCTTAGATATAGGATGAGGGACTCTGTTTACTTCCAACCTCCTTCATCAAGTGAGTGTTGGCAATGGGGCCGGATGTCCCAACTGGTGGCTCCCTTGGCACATGCACTGGGAAGGTAGGAAATTTACATTAAGGGTAATGAGAAGGATTTCAGGAAATCAGAGAGTGAAAAACAGGCATGACTGCTTCCCAATCTGAATTGGCTTCATACATATTCCTTTTTTGCCTCCAAGATCTCAGAGGTTAGCCTGTTTGTTGTTCTTTACACTGTCACCACCCACTGAGTATAAAGAAATTCCTCCTTCCCCTTTATTTATTTATTTTTTTAATTTTTTTCATGTTTATTTATTTTTGACAGAGAGAGAGAGAGAGCGCGCGCGCGCGCGCGCGCGCGCACACGCATGAGTGGGGGAGGGGCAGAGAGAGAGGGAGACACAGAATCCAAAGCAGGCTCCAGGCTCTGAGCTGTCAGCACAGAGCCTGACGTGGGACTTGAACTCACGGACTGTGAGATCATGACCTGAGCCGAAGTCGAAGGCTCAACCGACTCAGCCACCCAGGCGCCCCACCTCCTTCCCCTTTAAGACTAGAACTTCTTCCACATTGCTCCAAGGTCAGGTGTACTTAACTCTGCCTTTGTAGTGTGAAAGCAGCCATAGGTAACACCTAAATGACTATGCATGGCTGTATCCCAATAAAACTTTATTTAAGGACATATGAATTTCATGTATTTTCATGTGTCATTAAATATTCTTCTTCTATTCATATATATATTTTTTATATTTAAAAATGTAAACAGCATTCTCAATTCTGGGCTGTATAAAACCAGACAGTAGGCCAGAATTGCAGAAGAAAAAAGATACATTACAAGCATTTAGTTGTGTCACTGAAACAGTTCATCTGCTTTATATCAAAGACAGGTTGCTTAACAGGCCATTTAATAAAGTAGTAGAAGTATTTCTGATGAATAAGAAGCAAAAGAATACCCTTGCTTTCCATCAGATATTGTAGTGCCATAGTTTTAGATAGACTATAACATCCTCAGAACTTTTGTGGTAGTCTTAAGCTTCCCTGGAAAGTCTGATTTGTGCTGGGGTTTGACACTATTTGGAAAACCTTAGAAAGAGTAAGTGTATGTCAAAAGGTTAAGTTCATTTAATAATAGTAATAATAGTAATAATGGCTAACATCTATTGAATTCTATGGACCAAATACTGTTCTCACTTAATCCTCGTGATAATTAAAAGAAGAAAGTCTACTACTATCTCCCGTTCATAGATATGGAAAGCAAAGCACAGAGAGATTAAATAACCTAAGTGAGCAGTAAGGCCAGGATTCAGACTCAGGTAGTCTAACTGAAGGCTGAAGGAATTTAATTAAAACTAACAGATGTACTGAGTTGCAGGAATGAAAATGTTGTTGATAAATTAAACTTGCTGATTTTACAGATGAGGAAAACGAGTCTGAAAGTTAACAAAAACCTTTCCAAGGTCACACAGCCAACGTGAGATTAACACTAGATCTCAGATTTCCTAACTACCAGGCCACTGAATTTCTTTTATTCTGCTATACTGCATGCCCTTGAAAAGTAAAAGCTGGGCAGGACAGAATGAGTAAAACATGCTGGGCCAGATACAATTTATGTGGAACACAGAGAAAACGTTATTTAGAGTCTAAATATAAAATTAAGTTAAAGCCACCCTGAATAATATTTTAAATTAATAATTAAAATACAGATTAAGTTGTAAGTATGTCAGACATCAATAAAATAGTTTTTTAAAACAAATTAAGTTTTAAGTCCCTTCTTTTGATAAAGAAACTGGGATAAATAATGGAATTCACCTACATCTGTCAAATTGAAAATGGGAGATGGCTCTTAAATTTGGTTTTTAAGTAACTTTTTATTGCAAAATTAAATGTACACATTACAAAACATTTTGGCAAAGCATAAATAAAATTAATACTCCTCCCGTCCAAGTATTGGTGTGAAAGTGTTTTTTTTTTTCACCCCAGCAAAAGGATATAAAAATCAGTTTAGCAGTTTTTAAGAAACTACTCCTTTTAGGTGGAGAGTTCCTATCTACATTCACTCGTTTAACATTTACTCAACACCTACAGTGGAGCTGGCCCTGAGCCCCACACTCGGAATACAGAGGCGAACCACACAGTCTGTACTCAAGAGGCTTAAATATACGGAAGGAGACATATAAACAGACCGTTATCGATAATAACACAAAACTTGTGTCAAAATACACTGAGAGTATCTAGCGGTTGTGACACTAATCATTTTGGAATCCTTGGGTTTTTCCCAAACAAACGCTCAACGCAGGGCTGCTGCAATATTATTATCAGCACTAGTTCAAAACGTAGGTTAAGGAAAACTTAGCTGAAAACACTCCATTTGAACACTTGTCGAGTATTTAAGTCTTTCAAATTAAGCCCGTTTGGTGCGCTGGAAACGCGCGTAAAGCAGGAGAAACCACACGCCGGGATAACAGATGCTGAACGGGTCACATTTACTTGGAAGCCGACAAGCGCCGCCTTAGCGGAGCAGTGCCTGTTGGGACTTGTAGTTTCTACCAGGACAGAGGACACTGCAGCTCCACTTATAATGCACTTCTCCCTTTCAAGCTTTCTGGCCCGACAGATTAAGCCGTAACCTAAAGCATTTTTTGACAACTCTCACCTCATTCTGGGCTCACTGGGTTTCTGCTAGGCTCCTTACTTTGGATCAGCTCAGACAGACAGACTCACTTACCAGACTCACCGAGATTGGCCTGTCCTCAGTGGTGGGCGGGGCCCTACGTAGACTAGAGCTCGGGATTGGCCAGCATCTGACTAGACGAGGCGTTTTCGTAGCCACTTGCTGATCTGTAAACTGTGGTGAAAAAAGTGCGTCCTTTACCGCAGTATCCCTCTTCATCGCGGAAAGCCTCGCGATATTTCGGCTGAAGGGACTTAGCGACGCGTAGTGAGCGGCAAAGGCCAGTGGGGGTGACGGGCACCGGAGCCGGGAAGGGACAGGTCAGGCGGTGAAGGCGAGCGCGTGCTGCCTGCGCCACTGGGATCCGTCAGGGCCAGCCACCCCGAGCCCAGAGGAAGTGTGTGGACGCCGCGGCCCTGCTGGTCGGTGAGTCGGCCCGGGGTCTCGGCCTTTGAGTCGACCCCGAGCTTCACCTGGGCCTCCCGCTGGCTGTGACAGGTGCGCGGACGAGCGCGGCGCTGCGCCCTCTCGGCGGCCCGCCCCCTCCGGGCCTTGCCCGCCAGGGCTCGGGATGAGCTACGGGCCCCGGCTGAGCGGCTCCGGCTCCTGGCGCCTGTCGCTGCCTCCGTCGCCGCCCAAGAGCGGCCGCCGCCCCTAAGGGAAGGAGGGAGGGAAGCGGCCGCCGACCCTGGGCATGAGCCGGACGCGGCATCCGTTGCTGGAATAAGACGCAGACATGAACCTGCACCAGGTGCTGACCGGGGCTGTGAACCCTGGCGACCACTGCTTCTCCGTGGGCAGCGTCGGCGACCAGCGCTTCACGGTGAGTGAGGGAGGCTCCTACGTCGCCCGTGCCCGGTCCGCGCCCCTGAGTCAGCCGGGAGCGGCCCAGAATCGCGGGGCCGAGGCCGAGAACGCCTGGTCCCCTCCGCACTGGGGTCCCCGGGTCCGCGCCCCTGGGACCGGGCGGACCTGGCTTTTGAGAGCGAAGGAGGTAGAAACATGTCGGTCATCGAGGTACTGGCTCGGAAGTTAGAATGTTTTGTAGGATTTTTAAAGTTTCTAGGCTGACGTCCTTAAGACTGGGATGGTTTCCCACAGTCGTTTATCCAGAAATCGTTGTTGTGATGTGTATGAAGGCTTTTCGTTACCCTGCTCTATCCGCTTAAATTGTCAAATTTAGAAATAGTTGGGATTGGTTTCATTTCTTAGTTA